AGGGTTTTGGACAATAGACTGGCTTGTATCAGTCTCAATTTCGCGCACGCCTCGTTTGCATGGGCAGCAGCCTTCGTCTGGGACTAGCCTTTGTCTCATCTGGGCAGTGTACGGCTTTGTTTGGAGCTTTTCACTATTTCAGAGCCTCCTCGCCATGAGGAATACATACCTCGGCTTTTCAGCGTATGAAAATGGCGAAAATGAGTTTATCGATTTCCAGGTCCAAATTCAGTCGAAAATACGCGTAAGTGGGCGGAGTTCGAAACTACGGAGGCGGAGCGGGAAAGATTTCCAGTGTATTTTCATTGAATGCGGACTTCAATCCTTGAAAGAGGCTCGTTTATGCTCATTTCATGCGCGGAAAGCCCAGATATGGCTTCCTTGTGGGGAGAGAACCCGAAAAGTAAAAAACAGGAAAACTGACTTCTGCCGGGACTCTGTCTCCAAGGCTTCACTCCAACGGAGGCAAGAACATCCGCAATTTCTCAACCCTTTGAAGGCTATTATCAACTACAACAGTCTAAGTTAATACCTGTGGTTTCTGACTGATAATTTCGACGGCGAATCCAAACGCTGAATTACGAATCGACTCCATGGGAGAGTTCATCAGCATGATCACGTGAGGAACCAGTTGTTCGCAGCTGCAATTTGGTATTGAAATGTTTGACGAAAGTACTCCACTAACTCATACCATTCTGAAAATCTTCTGATAGCAAATTCCATTTCGTCGACGATCTCATCATGCTGGAAAGCCATCTCGGCCATATTCATACGTAAATGAATGTTGTCCATGGATGAAAGTGTACGATCTCCGACTGGGCTGAGAAATATTTGAATTATTCTCATGAAGGTTTGAATTTCATATGCGCAGACTGAGGAAGAAACTTCGATAAAATAATGAGGCATGAATTGCTGTGAAGCAAAATTGGCGCTATTCCACATTGGCTGACCCAAAATAATGAGAATCCTTTCGCTATAACTTCGTCTAGAGGGGTTATTTTTTACGCTGAACACGATGATGTTTATTTCGCGCTTTAGCGTCATCCGGTGGAGTTACGGTAGGGGGTCAAAACCACGGATTTGCCCGAAACTCGTTTATGGAGGTTATGTAGCATGCTGAATACGAATATGATGTGTATTTCGTGCGCACCGCCATTCCGATGGAGTTACGGTAAGCTTTTGGGCAAATCCATGGTTTCAACCCCCTACCTAACCTCACCCCGGATGGCACTGCTGCGCGAAATCAACATCATATTCGTGTTCGGCGCACCAAATAATCCCCATAGGCGAAGTTTTAG